TGGACTCTCTAAGAAAATTCCTTTTCAAATTTATTTCTATTTAATACTGTGTAAGGTTTTGCAGAAGTTTTTAGTTTGGAGACTTTTGTTTGTTTTTATTTTTATTGGTTTTGATGTTTTAGTATTTACCTATTCATTCTCACATTGATCCACCTACCAATACTTTATCCCCAGCAGCCATCTACCTCTTATTGGAACTGCGTGAAGCAAAAGATGACTGTAAAATCACCCTATGTGTTTGAAGTTGAGGCCTCCACAGGGCCTACCTGAGCAACCCTCTTTCTATGGAGAAGGTTTGGGTTTTGTCTCTAAGCTCTGGTATTGATGCTAAGAAAATGTTAACTAAGTTAAATAGCTAAGCTATCAACTGACGCAATTCATTATTACTTTCCCTCTTCTAAAAGTATAGATTGTAGCCATAGGGCTTTCTTTTTGAGTTGAGGTTGCCTATTTCTCTCCCATACTCATCCCAGCTATTCTCCTTTTGACTAATTACTTTTAAATACTAAGGTGGATAGTAATAATAGCTATTGATAGTTTCAATGTACCAGGCACTGTTCTAGGTGCTTTACATATATTATTTAATCCTCACAACAACCCTATGAGGTAGGTACTCTTATTATACCCATTTCATAGATGAGGAAACTGAAGTGTACAGAAGGGTTTAAAAAAATTGGCCGAGCCACTTTGTACACCTGTGGTATCTACTAATGGTAAGATTTTTCAGTTATTTGTAGCATATCATTTTTCACATTCCCCAGCATTGTTAGTTTTCTACTGCTTTAAATCCTTACTGCTGACTAAACAAATAGCATTCACCAATCATCTTTTTATTTAAAGGTGCCATACTCTTAAGTGGGTGAGTCCCACTGAATTTACCATTTTTTAACCTAAAACAGTGTAGCAATAAGTTCAAAGGATAGCATGGAAAAACTATTAAAGATGTTTCTTTTTTAATATGTTAGGGTCATGTTATCTGTGCTTAAAACCATTTAGAAATATTTTTCCTAAAAAGATTCATATATAAGAAATTTTTTTTCTTAAGCAGTTTCAATTTGTGGGCAAGTGATTATCTTCGGATGTTTTCTTTGCTCCTTTTTTTTGGTCATGCTGAGAAAATTATCTGTAATATTAGATAAAGGTTTGGTAAACTAATAGTCAGAAATTACCCAGTGTATATAACTTGACATTGCATACTTAGACATAAATTTGAATTTAGACAGACTTGATCACAAAATATTTATAATCAATTTATAACTGGATATTTTAATGACTACTTTTATCAAATCTAGTTCTGTTAAACCATTTATGGCCTATTAGGACTATCTATATACACAATTATAGGACATTCTCATTGTCTTAATAGCAAAGAAAGTACAGGCTGACTGTCAGGTATTGTTCATATCAAGTAGTGTTAATGTACTGTTAATGTAATGTTATTTTTCTGTTATATATTCATCGCTTTTCTCTATAAAATTTAAATTTTGTTAAAATCTATCCACAACAGATTATAAAAGATTAGTTCTGTTATCACTCTTTTGCAGGTATTATTCTAGTAGATTTTATTTTAAAAGTTTTCCATAATGAACATATTCATAAATCCCTATCTTGAGGTAGTAGTCTATTTAAGACATGTCTTTGGTAGTGGTATTTTTATATAATAATTGTTTCTTATTATGGCATTATGCATTATTTTAAAACTTTTTAATTTTTTCAAAATATATTTGGTTTAGTGATAGAAGATTAAAACTATTTGTAGTGTAGATACAATAATTGCATATATTTGGAAGAACGTACGTATGCCAGTCTGAAGTGAAACTTCTGTCCTAATCTTACATTTGTAAGACTACATGGTTTTGAAGCGTTGGAAGTTTGAAGAAGGATGGTTGGTGAAATACTAAGTATAAAAAGAATGTAGAAAATAGGAAGTAGGCAGGTCAGGACAGGAATCTTTGTTATGAGAAAGTTAGGAGAAGAAAAATGGAGTTAAGAGCATCTGTGGAATAGATTTGGAAGCATTTGGAAGCATACCTATGTGTGCATCTGTATGTTTGTGTCTCTGTGACCTAACACAATAAGTGATTATAGTCTCAGTGTATTAAACATACAGTTGTTCTTTATTTGTTTCCTACTGGACAATACTTAGTGCTTCTTGACTTCTGTATATTTCTGCTTTACTATATCCATCCAAATGACTTAGACCCTGCTGGCCTTGTAGTTTTATTTTTGTTTCTGAGATTTTGCCTTTGCAGCACATGGCAGTACCCATACCCCATGTGGTCCCAACCCCATCCCTGCTCACTGTTACGTTGTACCTTTCTACAGTCTTTTTTTTCACTAACCACCTCAGTTTCTGCATGTCTCTTAATTCTGAAACACCTTCCTATTCTAATGGTGAATCTATTCTGAGGATAGGAACTTTTATAGTCAACATTTATTCTATTCACATGGTAAGGAACACTCTAGCAATACATTCCCCCATCTTCAGTGCCACTTTTCATCCCCAGTAATCAAGCATATTTTGAAGGTAATATCAAATTTTAAGATGTATTTTATATTTAAATATAGTCAAACTTGTAGAATGCATAGTGAAGTTATAGTTTTGACGTAATCTGGCAGTCACTGTCTAAGTTGGAAAATGTCACCTTTGTACAGTGTTCCACTTATTACGCTTGGATAATATTGTTTAAATAGAAGTATTCCTCTATAATGGAAGTGTATTAGTGTTCAGAGGAAACAAATCCCAAATTACAGAGGCTCTGCTTATCTTAATTTACAATATGGAGCAAGTGATAACAGGGATATTGAAAACAAATGAAAAAGTGAAATATTTTTAGTTATTAAAAGCATGTAAGTGATAAACCTTCGTAGCAACAAACAAAAGGCTCTGATGGTTCATAGTTTATCATCCTCCTTAAGATGAGATAATTGAAAAAACGTATTGGCAGAATTGATGGTTTTTTTCTTTTTCTTTTTTTTTTTTGTGAGGAAGATCAGCCCTGAGCTAACATCTGCCAATCCTCCTCTTTTTGCTGAGGGAGACTGGCCCTGGGCTAACATCCATGCCCATCTTCCTCCACTGTATATGGGACGCTGCCACAGCACGGCTTGACAAGCGGTGCGTCGGTGCGTGCCTGGGATCCGAACCGGCGAACCCCGGGCTGCTGCAGCAGAGCGCGTGCACTTGCGCCACCGGGCTGGCCTCTGATAGTTTTTTTCTTAACCATCACAAATCTATTTTGAAAAGACCCATAGTTAATAAAAAATGATTTTGCCAGTTAAGGTAGTAATATAACTAAAATCTATCAGTTACTTGGATTACCAAACAAATAAGGTGTGTGTGGTTTCAACCAAGGCCACAAACTATACTAGATGTTTCAGAATGAAAATGTTAAAAAATTTTTTGTACCTCATCCTAAATGATAGTGATTGGATACAGAGGATTTGGTTATTTTTATTTGCTAGGAGTAGGAGTATGTGGCTTACTTTATTTTTGATTAGTCAAGAAATTGACATAAAATGCCTGACTAATAGGATTAAAAGCAAGTTAAACTTTTATCATTCTAGTCTGGAGGTGGGGATAGAGTAATATTATTAGCATATTAATAATTGTTCCCAATTTGTCTTCCACAAGTGATCAATTCTTAAGGCAGTTCAGTAGCTGCCCTTGTGTAGTCATGTAGGCTTACCTCTCTTTCTCTATTTTGTCTATATTGCTTAACTTCAGGCAATTCTATTTCATTTACTCAACAGATTTTTATCAATTACTTACTATATATTTGGCATTGTCTCATGCCCTTTGGGCTTTGGAAATTACAGATTGGTAGAATATAGTCCCTACCTCCTAGAATCCTTTGCATGATTTCCCTGTTCTGCCCTAAAACATCCCTAGAACAAGGTTTTTATCATGAGGGCATTTTTGTGTGGATGTGTGTTGATGACAGAATTAAACTCATGAAGCCTAGATTTTGAATTTGTTGTCACCACAGTTTTTTTAAAAAATCTGAATCCAGTGAATCTGGTACATAGGTGTTCTGTAAATATTTGTTGTTCATGGTATCTGAGGTTAATAATCACTTTTGAGTGGAGTACAAAATTTTCTTTTTATAAAATTTTGTCACAAAATGAATACAATTTAAAGGAGTCAAAATCTCTTGTAAATTGGTGTTAGTGGTTGCTCATGGCTTATATTTCTGTGCTTTTTGAATATTGGAGTATATGATAAGAACCACATTAAAAGTAGGCAAAAAGACAGACACAGAAATAGGAAAATAACGTATATAAGTCAGTTCTTTGGGTATTGTAGTCTTTCCTGATATTGCCAGTAGGTTTTGGTAACTGATGTGTTTGACTACTAATATTTTCAATCTCAAGTAGCCCAGTACTGCAAATTTAGATGCCATATCTGAATCAGTAAATGTAGAACAACAAGATTGACTTCTGAAAAATTCCACTTATTTAAACCCACCAATCCAGACATCTATGTCTTGAACATTATTTAATAGAAATTTAAAATAAAGGTATTCTTAGCAGGTTATTGTTGAGAAGAAATTCTAGTAATTATTGAGGAAGGTCATTGAGACAGGTCAGCTAGAGGTGGACACAGAGCCTGCCTAATAATTGGATGGATGCTACCTGGCTGGAAGATGGAGCTGATTGGTGGATCAAAATCTCAGAGGGAAACCTTCCATTTTTAGTTTAAATGTTTACTAAAATTATATTCCACAAAGTACTATTATATTGTATGCTGCTATTTAACTATTAAAAAGTGAAATGATCACCATTGATTATTATTGCCCTGCTAGAAAATTGTTTTAAGTGATTTTTGGTATGTGAAATATATTTGGATGAGTGGTACTTATTAGTAAACTTTTCTATTATTTTAAAATATGAACTTTTTAATTATAATATTTCCAAAGTTAGAACACAATGTATCTTATAAATAAGTTGTTTCTATGTTATATTTTAATTTGCTGAAGCCTGTCTTTGTATTTCCTCAGGTTTATGTGAGATTAAGACCATTCTTCAGGGAATTCCTGGAACGAATGTCTCAGATGTATGAGGTAAACATGCTTAAGCTAATTACCTAAGTATTTTTATTTTATTCAATATAGTACCCATATTTAGATCATGTATAATGATTACTTCTTTTCCCCTGAATTTGTAGATCATTCTTTTTACTGCTTCTAAGAAGGTGTATGCAGACAAGTTACTGAACATACTAGACCCTAAAAAGCAACTGGTCAGGTAAATTTAATTAAGAAATAGTGGAAATGTCTGTCACACTGATCTATGAATTTACTATGATTCTATTTAATTTTGATGGCCATTTTCAGTTGGCTGCATATATAGAGATTTGTTGTGTTGAATGGTGAAAATAAATGAATTTTTTAAGCCCCAAACTCTTTAAGAGTTCCTAATGATATACCTATATACCTCCAGACAGACGTTCTTTAAAGGATACAAGAATCAAATGTATTTATTCACTGTTACATCTGTATCCTTACTTTTTTTGGGATTGGGGGGAGATTGGGGGTATGTGGAATTTTTCACTGTGTGCATGATGTTTTCACTTCCTTATGTCTCTGAGATAATGCATGTTACGTCACCTTTTTGATGGCATAGAGAAATAAGTTTTAACAGAAAGGATCAAATTAAACTCTTTTGCTTTTTTCAAGAGCAAATTTATCTTCCATGGAAAGAAAATGTTACATGAATCTAATTGGAAATTGCAGTTGGTTTAGTCACTCAGGTTATCCTGATCCTGGACTCAGTTCCTTGTGCGTGTCCTAAGCCAGCAGATGCAGTGTGTTCCTGGTTAGGTGGGAGTGCCTTGGGTAATTTTTAAACAGTTTGAAAATTAGTTCCATTATTTCTGTCAACTGAAGTGAGATCTTAAGACTGCAGAATGTTGCTGCATCCTCTAAGATGTAGGAGTTAATCTTTGAGTCTTTGAGCCAGAGCTAAGAGAGATGCCACAAAAGGCTCATAAAAGCTTTAATGGCTGGGTATTCATATTCTTCAATGCTTTCTTCCATATAGTCTTAGTGGAAAATCCTAAACTTAATTTCTACTGTTAAATAGTAGCTTTATTATTGAATGGTTGCAACTATGCTGAAAGGCTTTTCCGAATGTCCATGTTTAGGATATTTTTTTCCTTCTAAATAGAACTGTGATTTTTTTTTTTTTAATCTAAAGGATCAAAATTTGTCCTTGTAGTCTGTTTCCATTTTATCTTTCATATAAGCAAGCTTCAGATACACAAATGAAAATGTGGTATTTTCTATTCATAAAAGTATATTATAATTCATGCTCATTTTACCTAACTTTAACAAAAGTATACAGATGATTTTGCTTTCATGACTTCATTCATTCTGAAGACTTCTGTTCAGCACCTCCAATATTTCAGGGAACAGTGGTGAGCAACATAAGCCCTTCCCTCTTGGAGCTTTCATTCTACTGGGGGGCAAATCATAGTCATGCAATTATAATGTTACAAATTAACACCTCTCTTTTAAACTAGTTTTATAAAATCTACACATTGGGAATTTAAATTCATTTTATCAAGTTGTATTTTGAGAAACTTAAAACAAGGAACACTTTTTGAACAGTATATTGAATTCATTAGAGTGCTATAGGGAATTATCTGTTTTGGTGACAAAGTAGACTCAGAAATTCCTTTGATCTCTGAATCTTGTGAGTCCAAATGCAAATATGATGACTGGCAAAAGTAGTTTCTTTCTAAAACCACATATACATGCTGTTGACCCTCAGATTCCTGAATAAGTGGTGGGGGAGAGGGGTTAATACAATTTAATTAAAGTAACCGTTAGTATCCACATACATATTTAGTTATCTCCTGTCTTAGGTGAGTTTGCTACTATTGGGGAAGAGGCAGCAGTATGACTTCCATGTACATGCTGTACCTGCCTCTCCGATTTCCTCATATCTAAATGTTTATCCAGATAAAATATGGAATCTTATTTAGGCCCAACCAGGACTTAAATTCGTGTGTCTAGTCTTATTGTTTCAAAGTAGGACTCTCTTTAAACCTTTCAGAGATAGATGATTATTTAATTAAAAGTATTCTTTATAATAAGCGGGGAAGAACTGTTTATACCACATTTTGTCTGGTTGTAAAATTCTTTTTTGCCATCACCACTGGCACTGATAAGGTTGAGTTTTGTTGTTGTTGTTATTGTTAGAGCTATGACATATTTTGTTGGTAGAAAGTGCCACTTTCTTCAAGTTGCATAATGGAAAATACAGGTATGAGTAGGGCCTAGCTCCTGAAAAATTGTTTAGTGGGATTAAGACACAAGGAAGCCAAACTACCAAATTATTAATGTATACAAATGGAGTATTTCAAGGTGGTCTGTATCAATTATTAGTAATATTCAGAGACTAATATTTTGAGTGCTAAATGATGGTTATATAATTATTATAGTATATAAATATTATTCTAAAACTTTTAATAGCTTTTAAAGATAATATAGCATTTTTCAATTTAGTATCTACCATTGGTGAAACATCAGTTTACATTTGCAATGTTTAAGTCTGAATTCATCATTTCATTCAATCCTTGTTTTTTCAAATGATCATATACACACTCACACTAAATTAAAAGAAAGATGGGTGTTTGAGTAAAGTTGAAATGATGGAATGTTTTGGCCACTGCATCTTTTCTCAAAAACTATAAGAGAAACTAAAAACATTTTTTAAAACGCCAACACAGAAACATTCCTTCTTATATTTTCTATTCTGGCATGTACAGGGATAGGGAGGCTGTGTGGTCTTCTGGTTAGAGCAAAGGACTGGGAGCCAGGAGGATCCTGGGTTCCAATGCGGGGCTAACCACTGACTTACTGTGTGACCTTGGGCAAGTCACTTGACCTCCTTGTGCCTCAGTCAACCATCTGGAAAAATGGTTAAAAAGCAGGACCTCGCTGACAACCAGATGCTGCATCTGAACTGAGCTTTCCTGGGTAAATAAATTACAAAAACAATTTACAGAGTTTTTAATCCCTCTTTATAATTTAATATAAAATTTTGGGATAAACCGAAGTTCTTTACAGCATGGTAATATTTCATTGTAAGATTTCAATAATTGCTAAGAATTTTTATAGTAAAATTGTAGCCCAAAGCTTAGGCCCACATTTATATTTGAATTTCCTTTTTGAGAGAAAATAAGGCTTAATCTGTAAAGCCTATGGTATGTGTATGTGTATATGTTTCAGTATATGTTGTACTTTTTAGAGGTTTTTTTTTTTTAGTTAATTTGTTTTTATTTTTATGTTTAGGCACCGGCTTTTCCGTGAACATTGTGTTTGTGTACAAGGAAACTATATAAAGGACTTAAATATCCTTGGAAGAGATCTTTCAAAAACTATAATAATTGACAACTCACCACAAGCCTTTGCATATCAGGTAGGAAAAGGGTTGCTAAAAAAAAATCAGATTGGAAAAAAAAATACAATGAGGACAAATGCTGCCAAACAGAATATGATGGGAGAAGAAAATTTTCATTGATGGAATTTCCCTGTTTAGTGTCATCTTTTAGAATTAGAAATGCTAAATTGGTATATTCCTGGTGGAAAATTTTCTTTTAAATGAAGTACAACATAAAGAAAAATCTGAGTAGTAAATCTGAATAAGAAAGGACTATAAGATACACATCATTTAATAGCATTCTTATCAGTTGTTAAATCAGTAATTTAATTATAAACATGTTTGAGAATTACGTATAGCTAAACCATGTTCTTCTGTTCTGTTTGATTTGACATTCTGAAATATTTTCTTAGACTATTTTGTCAATATATTTGTACCCTTTGCCAATGATTGTTTGAAACATAACTTCAACTAGAGATGAGCCATCCTTGCAAGATATATTTTACATTTGAATATGTTCATGTGCTATGTCTGAGATTTTTCTTTACAATAAATCAGTGCAGAGTGGGGATGGTGGAAAGTGAGTTGGGTGTAGATGAAACAAAATTCACCCTTCTGTGTTTCAACATGTCCATTATAAAAAATAAAAAAGAAGAAAAGAGGAAAAACTGCATATAGTATTGAAGTTTGTTCAGTTTAGGTCACTATGTTTATTTGTTTGCATTTTGAGGTATGGTTTTAAGAATTTCATCTTGGGTCCCAGATGAAATCATTTCAGCTATCCACTGTCTCAAACAGTGCCCCCCCCCCTTTTTTTTTTGTGAGTAAGATCAGCCCTGAGCTAACATCCACGCCAATCCTCCTCTTTTTTTGCTGAGGAAGACTGGCCCTGGACTAACATCTGTGCCCTTCTTCCTCCACTTTATATGGGACGCCGCCACAGCATGGCCTGACAAGCGGTGCCTCGGTGCGCGCCCGGGATCCGAAGTGTTCTGTGTAAATGTTAGGATAAAGATATTTTATCCTAGAGATTATTTACTATAAAACAAATATGGTTTGCATTCTTGATTTTAGACTCCTCCTTCAATGAAATACCATTGAGTCAATTTGTTATGTTCCTACTATGTTTTGGGAATAAAACAATGAATGGGACATGGGCCCTGTGTAAAAGTATATGCTTTCTGATAGTGTTCTGTTTAGATTGTCAATACCCCTTCATTCACAATGCCTAGCATTGACTAATAGTAACTATTTCTTGAGTGAATAAAGGAATGTTTTTAGTTATGTTATGCAAAATTTTTTTTAATGTATCTTTCTTGTTGTTTAGTTTTATATAAACTAAGAAGAAATTACGCTGAAAAGCCAGTTAGGCTTCAGTTTATTCCTTAACATCCGTCTCTTGGCAATATTGAGTTGTCAAAGAATATATGACAAGCATAAACTCTGATGGCATTCCTTTTCAAAGGAATGTATAGATCAATGTTTACTTAAATGTTATTTCTTTTTTAAGCTTTTCCAAAGTAGACAATGTAAATAAAAAGAGGATTTACTTACTTATTTATTGTTTTAGCTATCTAATGGAATCCCTATAGAAAGCTGGTTTATGGATAAAAATGACAATGAACTCCTAAAATTGATTCCATTTCTGGAGAAGCTTGTAGAACTGGTAAGTATATCTTATCATTTATCTTTTTCTGTTATGTTTTTGTTGTCTCAACTCTATCGAAGTAAATCTTAAATTGCTTTACTTTACGTGTACTGACTTTTTAAGTCAGCGTGGTGGGAGATTAGGGCAGGTTGAAAAGGATTACAAGCACTTTCAAACCTTATAAATTATATTAAAATTATGCTTATCAGTATTTAAAAATTTATAGATTGAATGTTTTTATTTTATTGGGTTTCCTCTTGCAAGTCACCAACTAGTTGTGTTAAATTGATTTCATTTTGCTTTCATAGTTCAGGTCTAGAATTAATACTTATGCTACTGAAACTTTATTCTGGGAATTTTTTTCCTATATCCTTGGATTAATTTTAAAACTAATGTAGGGCCGGCCCTGTGGCTTGGTGGTTAAGTGCGCGCGCTGTGATGCTGGTGGCCCGGGTTCGGATCTCGGGTGCGCATCGAGGCACCACTTCTCCGTTCATCCTGAGGCCGAGTCCCACATACAGCGACTAGAAGGATGTGCAGCTACGACACACAACTATCCACTGGGGCTTTGGGGGGAAAAATAAAATAAATAAAATCTTTAAAACTAATGTATACAGTAGAATTCAGGGCTTAATGCTTTTACCTATCTTTTGGTTTGGCTTTTTATTGCATGATTGTTTTTAGAAAATTAAAACTTTTTTTTTGTGAGGGAGATCAGCCCTGAGCTAACATCCGTGCTAATCCTCCTCTTTTTTGCTGAGGAAGACCGGCTCTGAGCTACCATCTATTGCCAATCCTCCTCCTTTTTTTCTTCCCCAAAGCCCCAGTAGATAGTTGTACGTCATAGTTGCACATCCTTCTAGTTGCTGTATGTGGGATGCGGCCTCAGCATGGCTGGAGAAGCGGTGCGTGGGTGCGTGCCTGGGATCCGAACCCAGGCCGCCAGTAGCGGAGCGCACGCACTTAACTGCTAAGCCACGGGGCTGGCCCTTAATGACAGTGTTTTTTAAAAGTCTAAATTTAATTCTAAGTTAACTGCTTCTGTGTAGTATCTTTATATATAGGCAAACAAAATAATGTAAGTTGTAAAATAAATAGTGGTGTATTTTGTCTGCAAAGTAAGAATGTTCATAATGTTATGCTGATCATATCTTTGAAATTACGTGGCTTACTAAAATGTCTTTTTCTTCACACAGAATGAAGATGTTCGACCTCACATCAGAGACAGATTTCGCTTGCATGATTTGCTGCCCCCAGATTAAGTACAAAGACTTCTCAAATCACTGAAGGGGGAGAGAATGCAGGACCCTTTTGGACTAAGAAAAAAACATTGCCATTACTGTTGAAATTTTGCATTTTTGTACCCCGTCTTGCTTTTCTTATCTTTGGTGCCCAATAATAATCAAGGGTTACAGAAAGAGACTTTATCTCAGATTGAATACATATAGTAGGTAGGCTAAAACAGAAGAGTCTTTAGAACTAGTGCAACTCCAGTGAAATTTTTTTATGTACAGGACATCTGCAGTTTATAAAGAATTCTGTTTCTGCCACCAGCAGTTTGACCTGTAGTCACACAGGATTTTATGATAATAACAGAGATGAAAATGGACTTTTATTTTCTCTCTGTTTGGTGCTCTAAGTGGGTTTGTAGCCACTTTTCTGTTACTTTAAAATTCTCATTTCAACAGGAATGGCCAGTAAAAGTTGTTTTATTTTTCCTGTTAAGGTTTATAACCTTTTTACATTTTTGACCTGTATTAGATTAGAATTTCATTATGCATTCCTTTTAGTTGAGGCGCTTCATAGTTTTCTGGAAATAGTCAATTTTTAGTTTTTTATTATACATTTGAATGGCCGTTTTCCTGCTTTGTCTGCCTGCATATTGTATATTTGTTTAAAAATATTCTCTACTTTTAGTCCATGTAAGTTTCATTTAGAAAGACATGCATTTATATTTTGTTTCTGTAATATTCTACTGTAGGTGAAATCTTTTCAAAAATCAAGAGACTGGTTAGATAAGAATATACGAATGACTAATATTCAAAAGATTTAAACCATTGTGATGGCATGTGTTCCCAAATGGTAATATCTTGCAATGACACACAGATTTAATGGATAAAGGTATACCTCAGACTTCACTGTGCTCACCAATCTTTGAGGAGAATGAGTTTGGTCACCTCCTGGGCTTGATTTGGTTACTGCTGCCTTTGGTTTTCTCCAGGGATGAAGTATTCAACACAGTGACGCAGTATTTTTAGTTATTTTGCATGGGCTGGTAGTACCTCTGTTATGCTCTCGGTTACAATCAATTTAAAACTCTGTATAACAGTCTTGGTACCTTACAGTAGCTATGCATAATCCTGTGGCGCAGTAAACTCCCAAGCCACCAATGCAGTTAATATGCTCTCATAGTGGTTTTCTATGCTATATGGAAATAGTCTTCAAGCCTTGGTTCTCTAATGCAGCTACCACAAGAGGTTGATATTTTTATAGTGGCGTGTAATCTCCTTTTCGGGAGGCTTTTTATGGAAGGTAGAATTTGTAAAAGTTAGTATGCTTTGCCTCTCGACTGCATTAACATGCCACAGGCTCAGACTGTTTTTGTGTAAAGGATGTCAAAGAACGGCACTTTTTCTAAAGAGAAGTTTGATATTTTGTATGCTTGTTAAGAAAGTACAGTATTGGAAATTAAAGGTGGACAACTGATAATTGAGGAGTATGTCACTTAATTTTTTATGTATATTACCTGTTTACTTGTACAACTTATTGTACAAATTACATGCAGCTTCATTTTCAAATGAATCCTTAAAATAAGGAAATCTTTTTAGGAAAACATTTAATTTTTGTATTTTGATTTTACAGGCATGAGTTATGTCAATTTTCAGTGTATTAATGAAGATTTTAACTTTTCATCAGGTTGAGTGTTTTCTTACTATATTATCTGTTGTGTATGTAGTTAGCATATTGTGTCACTGAACTGTTTAAAAATCTAGCATGTAGAGCAAGCCTGTTTTGTGGAAAATCCTTATTCATTAAAAAAATAATCATGGCAGGTTTTCTGCAAAAAAAAAAAAAAAAGCAAAAGCATTTGCAATTCAGAATACTGGGTTTTTTTTGTTTGTTTTTGTTTTAATTTAAAGAAAGGTATTTTGCTTGCAGGAAAAAATACTACAGATTCATTTTAGTGAGAATCCTTGAAATGTATTTATCTTTAGGGCATCTGGGCATCTTTATGCTATTTGTCTTCTGTCTTTCTTGAAATAAAATGTACATACGTTACCTTTACATATGCTCTTGCTCAAAATTGTGAACCTAGTTACATTTCTCCTTGTTCCCTTTTTATGCTCAAACAGCAAATCCCAAAACCTGTACAAGATTTAAACTTTCAGCATACATTATAATTGCTGAAAGCTTTTCTGATTAAGTAAATACAGTCTCAAAGGGCTTTCCCATAACTTAAAGGGAAATGTAAGCACCTATACTATTGTGCTTGTGGGCACTTTAAATAAACATCAACTTTTAATCATCTTTTATTAATGGTAAAGCTGTTTTCAGTCCCATGCTACGAGAGTTCCTTTAAGTCGACTGACAAATGAATCAAGCATAACAAGATTCTGAAAAGAAAGAAACTAAGGGAAATTTAATATGACCTGGAAAAATTTCTTGAGACCAATTTAATACATTTTTCTTCATTACTTGATTTGAGTCATTTTAAATTTGTTGTTAATGCAAAATTTAAAATAATTTCTAAAGAGACACTTATCCAGCTTCCTTCCACCATAATATATTGTTTTATATCCTCATTACCCTTCTTTTATCTGTTGGTAGATGTTATCTTAAACACTTCCATTTAGTTAAGTGGAAGTGTATATTTTATAAATTGAGATATGCCCAGTCTCTTCAGTTCACACAGGAAAATGAACTCTTAAAAACTGACTGTAGTAAATGCAGGAGAGATGAATACCTAAGACACAGCAAAAGTGACCTATATACACGTTACAACTCTGAAGTACATATTATAATTGTGATATTTCCAGTGATAAATGTCTGACTTTTAAGACATTCTTTTAAATATTTGTATTATTGTTAGGATGTTTTATTTTTAGTTGTGTTTTTTAATTCCATGTAATATATGTAGCCCTAACCAGATTTATATCACCATCTTTCTGCTTGGGTCTTAAAAAGAGAGGTGATAACAATTTGAAAGCATAAATTGTTTTATATTAGCTAGTATGTATATTTATTTACCCAATGGCTTTACCTTGTTTCCCAAAATTTGGGGGGGATTTGTTGAAAGCATTGTATCGTCTATAAATGGCTATTTTCTTGTAACTGTCAGTGAAAATGGATGTGTACATTGTTTTTTTTATATTCCTCTGGTTTTTCTGGTTTGCTTTTTGTTTTTTTTTTTTTAGGGTTAATCATAGAATGGTTTTAAAAAAAAAAGTTATTTTTGGCCAATGACTTTTTAGCTAGATATTACTTTCATTCAACCTTCTAAAGAAGTTCATTTTTCATTGTTTTGTTCAACTTGCCTGAAAAACAGAGAGACTTCATCTCATCAATGAAGAAAGCATTTCATTATTCCTACAAATCTTTACAGCGAGCACAGAATTCTTCATAAGGACCAGATCTCTTCCATGTCTTATGTCAATCACATAGAGCTGAAATGTAAAGGACACTGAAAGCCTTCATTTAATTGTACTAACATGATGGTGTTATATACTACATCATTAGCTAGTTAAGGTTTTCTGACCTGATTTCTCTTTGTCTTCCTAGGTATTTATTTGTTATCTCTTATAATCTTGTGTATCTAAATTAACTTAGTTAATAGTTACCCACCGAATAACTATGCCAAGCAACTAGGAAAGAATGTTTATTTTATTTCCCCTTATAGGGGAAGAGTGGACTGGGAACAAAAATGTACAGGCCAAAAGGCCTTAGGTTGTCATTCATTCACTTTCTTATTCCTCTCATGAGCTATATTTGAGTATAGTATTTTTTCAGTGCTGATGTGCTTGATTATATGTCATTACTTTTCATGTCTTCCCCTGAGTTGAAAGCCTGATAGGAACCTGTATAAAATACATTTTAAAATTTCAGAATAAGAACCACAAAACTCAGTATCTTATATTTAAATGCTACTTAAATTATTATTGGAATCCAAGTCTCACTCACTAGGATACATTTTTATAAAATGTTTCTCTGTATCTTGAATTGAAATTACTTGCCTAGAGGCAAGAGTTCTGGGGATATAATGCGTTTTGAGAAATTTTTAAAAGGGGGATAAGAGAACCACAAAGTTTATACTTAGTTACTTTATGGTTTTGATATTAGTTAGTATTTTAAAGTACGTCAGAGGTTCCCAAACCTGACTGTTCATTAGAATTACTCTGAGGAGCTTTTGAAATACAGATTCCTGAGGCTTAGCCCCACAAAATTGTCTCACTGAGTCTAGAGTGGGGCCTGAGAGTTCTGTGTCTTTTAAAAGCTCTCCAAGTGATTCTAATAGCCAGGTTTGGGAAATCACTGTTTTAAATAATGTGACAGTGGTTTGAGAGTAGGCAACAAAATAAAAGTTTACCAGACATCTCTTTGTGGTAGAGTTTTCTTTTTCTTTTTGTAAACTGGGACCAGATTTCACAGAACTTATTCAAGATACATGGAGGAAAAATAATGAAGATTGAGGCTACTGCTCATTATCATTCTTATCTTTCATACTTTTTAAGAGTTTGCATTTCTAGCACTTGGAATAGTTGATCATATACACAGCTGAAGGACATATCCCTGAATGAGACCATTATATATATTAACTGTAAAATATTTCACTATTTTTTTATTTTATAAATCTTTGTAGAAATAAGCAATGAAATACTACTTTCAACTTTTGAAATGGGATTTTTCAAGGCAGTGTCCTTTTCGCATTAAGGTAGGGGGGAGTTGATATTCTCTCTGCCTTTTTCCACAGGAATCAGTATAAAGTCCTGGACATTTAAAAATCTCAATTTAATTTCTACATATTTACTATGCAGTATAGCCGTGAACAAGTAATGTAGATTTAGTTTTCTCATCTTCATATGCCCTGATCACCCTACCTCACAGGGTTGTTGTGGGGATAAATAAAACTTTTATGGAAGCACTTTTCTTTGATGATATTTTATCAGCCATTAGAAACAATATAATATCTAGTAACATTTAGATAGTGCTTTTTTTGTTTACAAGTATGCAGTTTTTTCACATTACTTTTCCTTTTGATGATCTTCAGGACAGACCTGTAAGGAACATAGAGTATGTGACAGATAAGGAAACTGAGGCTCAGAGAGGGCTGTAACCCAGGACCTCAGCTCTTCTGGGAGACTGGAGTTCAGGTATCACTACAACATAACTTTTTCACAAGGCCTTGGCATATTTGTATAATCATGTTTGTACATAAATACAAAGCTTTCTCAAGTTTATAAATCAACTTAGCCAACAAAATTTTCTTAAAAAGGAATATAGAAACTTGATTCAAAAACTTGTGGTATAAACTAGGCCCTAGAGTTTAATGATTCAATTTTTAACTAGAAGGAAACTCCAACTTCTAAGTTTACCCCTTTATTTTACAGATAAGGAAATATATCTAGAAAAGTGTCTTCCCAAGATCACAGAGCTGGGATTAGAATCTAGGTCTCTTAATTACTATTACTCAGGGGCTGGCCCCATGGCGTGGTGGTTAAGTGGGCGCACTCTGCTGCTGGCGGCCTGGGTTTGGATCCCAGGTGTGCACCGAGGCACCACTTGTCAAGCCATGCTGTGGCAGCGTCCCACATAAAGTAGAGGAAGATAGGCACAGGTGTTAGCCCAGGGCCAGTATTCCTCAGCAAAAAGAGGAGGATTGGCATGGATGTTAGCTCAGGGCTGATCTTCCTCACCAAAAAAAAAAAAAAAAAAAAAATTACTAAAAGTAATGACTTTAGGAGGAATGATATTCTTTTTTTTTTTTTTTTTTTTAAAGATTTTATTTATTTTATTTTTTCCCCCCAAAGCCCCAGTGGATAGTTGTATGTCGTAGCTGCACATCCTTCTAGTTGCTGTATGCGGGACTCGGCCTCAGGATGAACGGAGAAGTGGTGCCTCGATGCGCACCCGGGATCCGAACCCGGGCCACCAGCATCGCAGCGCGCGCACTTAACCACCAAGCCACGGGGCCGGCCCAGGAATGATATTCTTAATTTCTGGAAGTACTGTGTGCAGAAGTGAAATAAAACATTTGAATGATACCTGAAAACAAAGGGGTTAGTTTTGAAAAGTAGAGATAAAATGGCAAGAAAGAACCAGATTATGGTGAGCTAAAATGAGGCATTTATACTTGATGTAATGGGCTAATAATAACTTGAATCATTATAACTAAAATAGCACTCTGGTCTCACCTCAATCTCTGTGATGAGACTTTTTTTTTCAAGCTTTATTGAATAAAATTGACGTATAACATTGTGTAAATTAAAGGTGTATGATGTGACGTATATATTATGAAATGTTTACCACAATAAGGTTAGTTAACATATCCTTCACCTCACATTCATTACCATTTTTGTTGTTATGGTGAAAACATTTAAAATCTATTCTAATAACAACTTTCAAGTATATGATACAGTATTGCTAACTATAGTCACCATGCTGTACATTAGATCCCTGGAACATTAGAACCTCATACAACTGGAAGTCTGTACCCTTTGACCAACATCTCTTCATTCTCCCCCAGCCCCTGGCTGTGATGTGACTTAATGATAACTATTTTCCCTAAGCTCCAAAGGAGTTTAATGCACATCCAGGGTTTAAGAATCACTGCAGTAGGCCTTTAGAAGTAAATGATTGGACTTCAGGTAAAGAGTTGACTTGGGAGAATGATTAATAAAAGGAGCATAAAGTTCAGAGTCAAAAGACTGGAATTCAAGTCCTTGATAACTCATCTACCTACTAGACAAAGTAGTTCTCTGAGCCTCAGTTTGTTCATCTGAAAATGGGTGCACCAAGCTTCATCTTTCAGAATTACAAAGATGAAACATGTCAGAGCATGTTATAAACTGTAAAGCAATATGCAGTATAAATGACCACCAGAATGAAAATGTTCAAGCAGCTAGTTTTCTTGAGGGTGTGTGGGAGATATACACAGGGTTTTGGAAGAAGTCTGAAGCTAGAGGGGGCAGGAATGGGCAGTAGAATCAGGGTATTGTAATACCACTGATGTCAGGGAGAGTCTTCAAGACAAGCAGTAAGGTGCATTCAAAGACTGGAAAAGTGATAAA